TACTACTTACTATTTGTACTAATATTCCTACTTTTTGTACTTTGCTGTTTTTCACTTCATGGGTCTTCAGGTTATGGATCTCCCGTGATAAACAAGGGACTACTGTAAATCTAAATGTATGTTTTGATGCACTGTAGTTGTGGTGTATGTGCAGAAGGTTATCATAGCATCAAATTCTCATACTGTTCACATTTAATCTGTGCACCGTGAGATCACGCATGTTGCTGTTTTTAAGGTTTCACATGAATGTCCATAACTTCATCATTTCTCAACACAAAATGGTTTGAGCTTTAAGTTCCATCATGAAAGTTGGCGAGCTGCATGCATACCTCATAGGACACTTGTTTTTTTAACTCTAAACTATTTTTATTCTTTTGTAAGTAGTCAGAATTTGTTCCAGCGTGTGCGTTTGTAAAAAGCAGGAGCGAACGTGTTTACTCAGAGTCACAGCACAAAGTCAACAGAGTCCTGCTGCAGGACAGAAGGTCCAACGACACTGTGAACCCCAGAGACAGGGGAGTCCCCCCCCCACAAACACCCCCCAGCTGACGCGCATGTTGAGCTCAGAGGAATTTTATTGAATCACCACGAGAGACTGGCAGCTCCACTGGGCTCCAGCTTTGTGCTCCGGAGGCTCCGCAGCAGGTGGCTGCTCAGCTTTAGACAAAAAATGTCCAAATCCTCCCAGTCTGAGTCAGAGTCTGAGACGGACGTCCTTTTGTTTCCTGTGTGAGCGCTTACACAGCTTTGAACCCCTTTGTTCGTTATGAAGTTATTTTTCAATAAAGTTAGATTAAATTTCTCATCTTATGAACAAACAGAGTCGATTCAGCTGACTTCATCTGGTTCATATTTTTATTTTTCATTTAATCTTTATTTATCCAGGTAGTCTCATTGAGTCACGAGAACTCATTTTCAACAGAGACCTGTTTGGGAGCAGATGGTGGGGGTTAAGAGCCTTGCTCAAGAGCCCAAGGTGGAACAAATGAGGGTGGAGGCAGGTGTGGGTGTTTTACCTTTTCTACCCACATTTGGATGTTGTCAATCCAGGGAATCAAACCGGCAAACTTCCGATCACAGGCCCACCTACTGTAACCTCTGCGCCACCACTCCCCTTCTTCGGCCTTTCTTTGGTTCAACAGGTCAAATTTTATGTGCAGACACTAAAGAAACTTTTACCACAGTCGTTAGGGAGCACTAGTTTTCAGCGCTCCTAAGTCTCGTCACAGTTTTCCAGCAGAAGGCTGAGACTGATGTGACGACGTCACCTGTCTCCTCCGTATGGATCACCTGGACATGACAGCACTCAGCTGTAGGAGGCATCATGACGAGTCCTCTGTCCTAAACCTCCTGTTCATCCGAGTTTGTCCATTAACTAAATATCTCGGGAACCAGAGCGCAGGTTTTATTGAAACTGTCTGAAAATAATTACTAAATGAATATCTGTAACTGACCAACGTTTGGAGTTAACACTGTTCAACATGGCTGCCACAGCTAACACTCCTTAGCAAAAAATGGCTGTAACTTAATCAATTCTACATTTACTGAGCTAGAATCTGGTGCAGTAATAGTTGAGACACTTATCCTGAGCACATCAGATCTGTTTGTAAAAGCTTGCTCTGAACGAGTGGAGTCAGCCCCGGCTGTCTGTTAGTAAAATGTCTTGTAAAGCGCAGGATGGATGTTAATCAAACTTCCACTAATTACATATAAGCACAACTACACTTCATTACCTTTTGGAATCAAATTGTTGCCACAGCTCATTGAAATGAGCAAACTCAAAAATAGCCATTTTTACAGAAAATGACCTCGAACTGGATCTTCTAGATGGACTGTATACAGAACCTTTGTCTTATCAACATACTCAAAGCTCTTTACAACACAAGCTGCGCCCTCATTGACCTGCACACATTCATACAGCACTCTGCTGCATCTCCACAGAGATGATCTGAATCTGTAGAGACTAATCAGTTTGAGATCACATTCATACACCAAGGGGACACACAGCAGAGAAAATGGGGTTCAGTGTCTTGCCCAGGGACACTTCAACATGTGACTGTTGGTGGAATCGAACCCCCAACTCTTGCATTCCAGGACGCCTGCTCTAACCACTCATCCACAGCTGCCGCTTGTCATAGCTGAGCCCTTCATGAAGAGTCATTCAAGGAACGCTAGTCCTTTTCTGTTAAAGCTCAAAGTTCTGCCTGTTCTAAAGGCAGTTTTCTAAATGACCATCAGTGGTGCAACATTTCTCAATAAACTCTGGCATTGCCTGTAAGAGTCGACACTGTCAGGATTCTACCTCATGAACCTCAAGACACACTTTTAGTGGAACTCTCTGAAAGTAATCTTTGGATATTTCTTGTTAACTTTTGGAATTACTCCAAATCAACATGGCTGCCACAGCTAATCAACATGGCTGCCACAGCTAAT